GTCAGGAGGATGGGGCCAAACTCTTTTCAGTGGTGCCCAGTGACAGGACAAGGGGCAATGGGCACAAACTGAAGCATAGGAAGTTCCATCTGAACATGAGGAAGAACTTCTTTACTGTGAGGGTGACAGAGCACTGGAACAGGCTTCCCAGAGAGGTTGTGGAGTCTCCTTCTCTGGAGATGTTCAAAACCTGCCTGGATGCAGTCCTGTGCAGCCTGCTCTAAGTGACTCTGCTTCGGCCGGGGGGTTGGACTATATGACCCACAGAGGTCCCTTCCAGCCCCTAACATTCTGTGATTCTGTGATCATCTAGGATTGAAGGTCTTCAGAGATCAACATCTGCAAGCAAGGAAAAGCTTGGTCTTGCCTGCTAGATACATCCTTAATTCCCATATTAGTTATTTTCTCTAACTTTGTTCTTTGTGGTTATTCATATGGTAAAGTGGAACATAGATGTTGTGTTTTTTCACTGCCAATGTTGCCAATGCAGTTTAGATTTGAGGATCTGTTCAGTCTATTGCTGAACTGTAGTCTGCTCAGTCTATACCTCTGAAACTTACGAAGTATCTGCTAACAGTCTGCCTGATACTCAAGGAAATGATGCCCCATGGGACAGGAGCTTAGTTGTAATTTTAATAGAATAGTGTTTTGAGCTGTTTGGAACCTAGTTTTGTGACAACTTGCAATGAAAGGGTCTTTTGTGGTAGCTCTTCTATGTATGCTAGAAGAGCTGAAAGTGTTCCTTCCTAACAGGGCTTTCCTGCCCGAAGTTCTATGTAATTTATATTTGCAGGAAAGTAAACTTTTTTCCAATCTCCTAAGGCTTATTTACATATGGTCAAACTGTAGGTCTTGCAGGGCTGCCAGGTTCTATACCGATAGATCCTTTGGCTAATTTCCTTGCGTATTTTCTTCCAGTAGAAAAAAACAGTGGGAACACCCAAGCTGTACTGGCAACAGACAAGGCCAGTTAGGGCTGCCGGAGAGGTTCTCCTCCCAAACTGTCCATGACCAGGGCAGGTTAGGTCTGCAATCAGTCTGTCTTTCTTAATGGTGGGGGGCTTGTCAGATATTTGTAAAGTGACTGCTTGGCACTCTTGCCATTGTTCTGTCGCAGTAGTTTCTGAGAATGATGAGATATTTAGTGGAACAGTAGAATTATGTCATAGAACGGCTTGGGTTGGAAAGGACCCTATAGATCATCCAGTTCGAACCCCCCTGCCATGGGCAGGGACACCTTCCACTAGACGAGGTTGCTCAAAGCCCCATCCAACCTGGCCCTGAATACTTCCAGGGAGGGAGCAGTCACAGCTTCTCTGGACAACCTGTTCCAGGGCCTCACCACCCTCAGATGAAGGAAGGAATTTTTTTCTTGTATCTGATCTAAACCTACCCTCTTTCAGTTTAAAGCCATTACCCCTTGTCCTATCACTACATGCCCTTATAAAAACTCCCTCTCCAGCTTTCTTATAGGCTCTCTTGAAGTACTGAAAGGCTGCAACAAGGTCTTCCTAGAGCCTTCACTACTCCAGGCTGAACATCCCCAACTCTCTCAGCCTGTCCTCACAGGAGAGGTGTTCAGCCCTCGGATCATTTTTGCAGTCCTCCTCTGGACCCGCTCCTACAGGTCCATGTCTTTCCCGTGCTGAGGGCTCTAGAGCCGTGACTGTTTTCTCTGGCATGAATATTAAGCCATATTTCAGAAGTAGAAAGGCAGAAGACAGCCAGAATGCCTTGATACCATTCTCTTGTGCTCCAGTTTGCTCCGACCCAGTACTGTGACATTATCCTTTTGCAAAGATTTTTGAGACCCAACTTGGTGCCAGGGGTGATGGGATAGAGGATCTGAGGACAGCTGCTTGGAGCCACCCGCGATATATGTGTGCATGTGTCCAAGCAGTCAGAAAGAAAAGTTACACCTTGAACTACTGCTGAAGTATTAACTGAATGTAGACTTCCCACCCACCTTCCTTGCTGCACTCTTAAGAGAGCCTTTTGGCTACTGTTGTTTAGAGGAGTTGTAAGTCCTGTAACATAGTTTTGCCTTTTATGCCTGTATGAAAGGGGAAGGGTTGAGTCTAGTCTCAAAGTGCTGCTCTTTTCTTTGAAGGTAATGATCATGTCTGCCATTCATCAGAGAGGTGTTTGTACTCCGCACATTCTCATGAGCTCTTGTCCTTGCTTAGTAATTTAGATAATAGTGACTACCTGTCTCTGTGAAGTTCTGTGCAATTAGAAGCAGGGAGTTAGCTGTGTTAAATTTTTTTTTGTTGAATTTGTAATGGTTTTATGTGTGCCTTTGAACCTAATTCAACAGAACAGTCTATTACAGCTCCTGGGTAGATAAACTGAAGTCTATAATCTCAGTTTTCCCCGTTTGATGTTATCTGATGTTGTCTCTACTTAAAAAAAGAAAAAGAAAAAAAAAACACACCAAAAAACCCCCACCAAACCAAACCCAAAACAGTTCTTGACTTCTTCCTGATTCAGTCTTTGTTTCAGAGACTATTTCATTCTGCAAAGTAGTTACAATACCTAGTAAGAAATTTATAATAAATGTTGCTTAAAGAAACCATTATAAGAATGATGGACTTCTTGTAATAGTACATCTGAATTACAAATTGTGCCAGAATCCTTTTTATAATTTTTTTAATCACAAAATCACAATGAAGTTATTCCTTTATGATAGACTGCTAAAAGGGGGAAAGTGTCGTGAGCGTATGCCGATCTTTTCACATTGATTCCTATTGTGATGGAAATCAGTACTGCTTTTCTCTTACCGTTGATTGTATGCAGTATTTTAAAGTTTCTTAGTTATGAAGTTCTTGTCTCACAAATATTAACCCTTTATTTGACTGCTTTCTTTCAGAGATGTGGTACTGGGTTTTCCTCTGGGCTCTCTTCTCCTCTCTCTTTGTCCATGGTGCTGTGGGAGTGTTAATGTTTGTGATGCTGCAGAGGCATAGGCAGGGGAGGCTGATCTCTGTCATTGTGGTCAGCATTGGATTTCTGGGCTCTATAACTGGAGCAATGATAACCAGTAAGTCTGTCTTTTGCTTTGTTTTTTTCTTCGTATTTTACATCTAACTTCTATAAAGAAAAAAACCCCACCCTTTGTCTTAGCGATTTGTTAATTGTTTGTTAAGGATTTTGCCATAGTTATATAGCTATCCTAATGATAATGACAGCTGAGTTGCTCTTCTGTTGTGTAAAGATAAAACTACTATAAATTGTCAGAGGAGTGCAGAAAGCATCCGACTCTTTCATTCTGGAAACATTGGACACCAAGCTTTCCAAAAAGTGTATGCTCAGCAGGTAATATCTTTTTGGGGATCAAGAGCAGTCATGTCCTACAATACATGTTGCAGGGTTTTTTTTGTCAAATGTTTCTGAACAAGATCACCTCTTAGTGTGCCTAAGGCCAGGAGTTTCTTTCGGAGATGAGGTCCTGATTCCATCGGTTGCAAGGCTGACTTCCTGCTTGTTTCCTTGGGCCTGTTGGAGGCTTTTAAATTGCACCTGGATAGGAGGTTGCTTTTTTGAAAGAAATGAAGGTGCGGTGTAGGTAGTAATTTACAGCTAAGAAAATTAATCTGTTTGTCTGGAGATCTTACACTTGGCTCATGGATTTGAAATAACTTTCCAGTCTTGGCTTGGCCATAATGTTACTTTCTAGTTTATTAGGGGTAGGGAGGAAAGAAGGAGGAAGGCTGTTCGACTGCCCCCTCCCCCCCCCCTAATTATTCCGTGCTGTTGATCTAGTTAAAATGCTCTTTCATGCGGGCTTCTGTTACAGAGTTGCTTATGGTGTTAGTCTAATACCTACCACTCAAGATGCGCTTTAGACGTCCTTTATTTCTTGACACTGTATCCACAGATAAGGTGCTAACTGTTCTTCTGTTTAAAGCAGCGTGCTGGAAGGTTCACAGAGCTATGGTTAAAACCTATACTCATCATTAAAACGTTGCAGGAATCAGGAGTACTTCATGTAGTGAAGTGCAGAGGTGTTACACCTGAACAAATACGTCACACAAGTGATGTTGCCAAGATCATTTTGAGGAAATGCTGGTTAGCTGTTTTCATCTAGAGTTATTGGTATCAGATATTGTTTTTCCATATTTCCTAAGAATTCCGTTGTCTGTGTCAATACTGAAATGTATGCCACAAGACCAGTAGGACACTTTATTCAGTCTTTGGCTTTATCATATCCAGATACTTATAAATAGACTACAGTAGCTTTCCCAAGCAAATAGGAGCATGGTGAGTTTTCTGTTTGGGAGGGTGGGGAAGAGATAGTGAATATTATTTTCATAGGAAAGAAGCTTGTGCTTCATTGTCTAAAATGGTGCCAGTAAGGAGTCCTCAACATTAAAATCAATGGATTGAACGGGGCCTATGTTAACCTGAGCAGCAGTTTCTGCCCAAAGACCTTCAGGGTTGTTGATAAGATGGTCTAACTTGAGAGTAAGGAACTGTAAATCTGGTGACCATCATATAGTCTTTAACTGTAGACAAACCTTTCTGCCTTTCATTCCCATTTATCTGTGTACTGCCCAGATTATCAGAATAGTGGTATCACTTCATCTTTGAATACATTGGTTTGTGACAGATTATTTCTTATTGCTACTGAAAGTCCTTCTTGCCTGTTGGTTTTCAAGGTTAAATAAAAATGCAAATTTCATGAAAAGATTCGTTAAGACTTTCCTCAAAAGTTTGTTTTAATTGCTATATATTTCTCAGCCTAGAATTTCCATCATTTAACACACTATAGTTCAGTATGACTATTTTTTTTTTTTTTTTTTTTTTTTTTTTGCTAAGGTGGGGCGGAACCAGCTGAATGCCTTACGTTACATGTTATACTGATTTTTGTCCTATGATGAAAATGAGTGGGCCCTGTTACAAGGTTAATTGTGCAGGAGCATTTCTGAAGAACAGAAGATAGGAGATGTGATGCTGGAATATCCAAGCAGATACTTTTGCAATATTCTGTGGTGGGGAAGGTTCAGGTTCAGTGTTTCTCAAATCAAAGTATTTTGTGTCTTTTATCTATGCATAAAAAGAGGAGCAACACAGTTGTATCTTTGGCATCCAATCTTGCAGGTCAAAACATTTAACAAGTAAGAAGTACTGCTGATGTGTAAATTCACCTGAGAATTTCTCTAAGCTTAGACTGTAGACTTGTAGTGCTGTTCCCAAAGGTATTGCACAGAGCATGGCGATTTGCTTAGCCAAATAACTTTTACTTTCGGGTATTTTTGTTTCTGGACAGCACTGCAATGTTTCATACTGAAAGAAATTCTTTGGGGAGCTTCTAAAGACAAATTAAGGTGTCAAAATATTAGAGAGGATTTTTAACAGCTATTGTGCTGCAAACTGGAATGCAAGTTGAAGTGTTTAGTGGTTTGGATATGCCTGGTCCAGTGCTTAAGAAATTGAAATAGCAAACTGATTGAAAATTAGAAAATGAGAAATGGAAATAGCAAATATCTAGAAAAGCCGGAAACCCCTCAGTTTCTAGCCTTTGAAAAACCACAGAAATAAATGGTTATAAAAAAAAAAAAGTTATTAAAAAAATGTACTAAATAGCAGTGGATACTGTCAAAAAAAAACCCCTCAAAAACCCAAACCACCAAACCATCACCACCAACAAAAAACCCCAAAAAACAACAACCATGAACACATAAATGTCAGGCAGTTTGAGGCAAGGCTTTTAGATGTTTTTCACCCAGAAGAGTCTGTTCTTTCTCTCCGCAAGCACAGTCCTTTTTGGTGACATGTTCTCATTTCCCTTATTGGCAGCCTATTGTCTTATACTTTGGCTCTATACCAACGGTGCTGGGTTATGCATTTCAAGTTGTATTGCACACAGTTATTTGACAAGTATAAATACATAATTATCAAACTGCCAATTTTTTATGTTTTTATTATTGATATTTTCCAGAATACCTCAGTGTTTTCTCAAAAGTAGAAAAATTTCTGTTATTGATTAACTAGTAGCATCAAGTTCTGATATCCCAGTTTGGCTGATTTGAATTAACTTTGAGAGTTCAATCACTGAAACAATTTTAATTTCAGTACTGGACTCAGTCTAAAGGACATCTTTCAGCTTTGGATAGCAGATAGTCAAAGGAACAAATGGAAAATCTTATGCGAGCTAACTGAGTGAAATACCATAAGGCTAGCCTTCTGGTGAGATGCTGCTGACAACACTTTACAGTTTGTTTGTTTGGTTTTTTTTAAAACAATACTAACAAAAAAATCCCCAAACTTATTCACATAGTTTGATTAATAGTGATTGTAAACACTACCATGGCCACGATTATTAACGAATACTACTCTCCCTAAAATTTTTGTGAAAATCAGGTGTTACTTTTTTAAGATATTGGATTATATTCAAATACAGATTGTACTTTCAGAAAATCTGTTGGGACTTACTGTATTTCCGTGTCACTAATGGGTTTTTGATTGCTTTGTCAGACTATTCCTGTTAGTAACTGCAACACCAAGAAAATTCCTAATCTTTTTAACACTTGCCTATTATTTAAAAAAAATGGTGATAGCTTTTCAGTTTTCTTTGAGCCTTGGAAAAGCCTCTGTGATCACTGAAAGCATTTAGTTATGATTAGATAGTATCTGAGACCATACATACTGAAGGTCTGTAAGTTTGGGGTTTTGGTCTTCAGGAAAAATTCATTCTGAAACAAAGGAGAATATACTGAATGTTTATTCATTGTAAGTATTTCATTGCATGAAAGTAAGCACTTCATAGAAATTACTGGTTCACAAAGTATTTAATAAAAGCTTCATTCTAGGTGAACTTTTGAGGGTTGGACTGAATAACATTTTTACCTGTAGGCACAGCTGTATACAAGCCTGTATTTCTTTCAAAAAAGAATATTTTAGTATCCTTAAAAGGCTCAGAAGTTGTTTGAGCAGAAAATATTATTCATCATTAGCATGTTATTTTTTTGACTGATCTTTTTCTCAGATATTTGCTCCAAGACATCACAGCTATCCGTTTGCCCTGTGACTTTTGTTCTTCAAATGCATGTGATTGATTAATTCATCATGTGAAAGACAGTAGCAGGGAGTCAGTAGCACCTGGCTTTGTTTACAGCACAGTATTTTGTTTCTGATTTATCCTGGCCATTTGATGTTATACTTTAAATGGAAATTTGCACACAACTGTACAAGAAAAAAGGTCTCTTAAATTTTAATGTGTTATAGCTCAAAATCTAATCATATTGGTTAGAAGGTTCCTCTTGTGCACAGTCATGGATAATAATGCAATACTTTGATCTTTTTGATGTTTTGCTAAACAATAGTTAACAATTTGGTAGTTTAAGTCAAAGATAAACTGACACAAGATGACCAGGTTATTCAGCCGAAATATTAAATGGAACTGATAGATGTGTAAGTGTTTACACTTATTTTGTAGATATTAGCAGTTTTACTGCTGTTGTCTTCTTCCTGCCGATACAAGCACTGTTAAACCATGCTTTGGACTTGGTCAATTTTTAAAGGATTTTTTTGCTACCTTTTTAAATTAGCAGATGGCAAAAATGTAAAAAAGACTTGAAGATGTCTACAGGGAAATGGCACAATTCAATTTTCTGATATCAAACTGATGTTGGAAAGTTAATCTGGTTCAGCTGGGGAAATCATTCCCGAAGGACTTCCACAACAACTAGAAAAATACAAGCAAGACTAGTAATTATGTAATGCCATGAAGTAATACGGTGTTTTGTAATCATCTATAAATAGACATAGTAACCAATTTGTTGTATATTTCAGCCTTGGCTTGATTTCTGTGAGTTAATCGTTGTTTTTCTTGTGATTCTTAGGTGCTGCGGTAGCTGGAATTTACAGAGTAGCAGGAAAAAATATGGCTCCCTTAGAAGCTCTTGTCTTTGGTGTTGGACAGACAGTACTGACATTAATTATCTCATTTTCAAGAATTCTTGCAACACTTTGAGACTTATGTAAATGGGGAAGAAATCAACTGGTTTTAAGAAATCTTTAATCTGAAGAGAAGCTTCCTGAAAGCAGATTCTTCAGCTTATGAACTTGAATTCCAGCACAAGAGAAGGGAAGCTATGTGGAACCTGCACTACAAATCTAGAGGTTCAGTCAAATGAACAGACTGTCCTCTAGTGTCAGAACTGTTGTACTTCTGCACTGCGCCTTATGTGCCTCTGTCGTAGGCAAGGTGCAGTCCATGTGTGTGAAGATGACATAAAGCACCTTGAATAGCTGCCAGTCAGGTTAAAGCTTGGTGATGGGATCATTGTTCTTAACAGTGTTGTAATAAAGTTAAGGGGTGCTCCTGAATGTTGCTGTATGTGCCAAACTTGGATTCTTAACTGTTGGTTGGGTAAGCTTTGAAACTGTAATTACAGAAAAATGCTATGAACATACACTCAAATTCGGGCAAAATAGCAAGACAACTGACTTTTCTATTAGCAGAATCGCTTTGAATGCTGAATAGTCTTATTCAGCATTCCAAACAACGGTTTGGTCAGTTTCAAAGTGTAGATGAATTTTGATGGGGTTCAAGAACAACAGCTTTAGCAACCCTGATATCAATAGCACTGTGTGTAGAATGGCTCATGGCAGTTTTCTGAAGCTCAGCACATCATTTCCTCTTGGTTTTAGCTTGTCATAAATCAGTAGTTTAAGGAGACTGTGTGAGGTGTACTAAGTACAATCTATTGTGTATGCACAAACAAATCGAAAATGATGCTTTCCTTGAAATTTTTTTGTCTTAAGCATACAGATGGTTAGCAGCCCTTCCGAAAACCTCAGAAAGGCTCCTTCTTGCAAATAAGCTCCCTATATTTATTGAAGCACTGATAGGACTCTTCACCCTACGTGTATTCTTTAAAGAACACACAAATTTAACAGACTTTAAGAGAATACACCTATGAGGGAAAGGGACAAAAAAGGAGATATACTGATTTTCTACCTAACAAAAATGTTGAGTTTAATGAAATAGCTACTATCCTCCAAAAGTTTGGAAGTGGGGCAGCACTAATGTTTTTACTACCTGAACACTTTGTATATTTGGAAAGATTAAGATACCTGGAACTTTCAAATACTTAGCTTTCAGTAGAGTTTGTGCTTTTCTAGTTTAAAAGGGACAGTAGTGTTGTGCATGTGAAATGTCTTAAATGTGAATGTTTTGGAGTGAATAGAAATTTAAACTCTAATTACTAATTATTTACAAAATGCAAAATTTAAAGGGCACAAAGTTCTGTGTGAGAAATAATGAAAATTTTTTATATTTCCTCAACTGAATGCTTTTCAGCAGTCCACTTTTAATGCTGACACGAAGAAAAATTGCTCAAACGTTTTGCTGTTAAGATGTCAGAAACACTTTCAGGACTGTTGAAACCACGGGCACCTACTGCACAGATAAAAGAATATGGTTAAAATATAACTTACAATCTAGCCATATTGCTTAGAGCTTCAAAATGTTACAATAAATCAACCTGTCTGCCTTTATATTACTCCACAAACTGTTTGGGGTTTTTTTTGAAGTGCTAAGGATGCTAATATTTTTCTTTAAAAGTATTTAAGTCTGGCTTGAAAAATGTACAAAATTACGGGCTTTGCAGGGATCAAAGTAAAATATAGGTTTCTAAACCTTTTCAGTGTTATTTTGGCTTTGAAATGCTTTAAAATGTGGCTGAATACATGTATTTTCATTATTTTGAATGTCTTCAAAAACATATTTATTTTTCATGGTTTGGATTTTTTGGCTTGTGGGGTTTTTTTACTTTCTGCAGATTCTTTTTGGCATAACAATCGTTGCACTTTAGTAGATAATGAAATTATTACATGTGTAAAAGGTAATTTAAACTTCTCCCCGTTGTCTTAAATGATGAGAACTGGTTTCAGGTATTTAAATCAAACAATAATAAAAATAAATTGAAGATATTTCTCCTAACGTGCCTTGTTACATGTATTTGTAGGGGAGAGAATTTGAAAAAAAAAATTACCATATCTTCATTCTTGTTCTTTTTTTGCAATTTCTAATTAAGTTGGTTATTTGATATAGTGTCTTACTCAACAGACATTAGTATATTTCTGTTGGACAACCTGGAAATGCTTGTGGCATCAAAACCAATCATTTTATGAATCGCTGTATTCAGTAATTTAGATTGTCTCATGACTTTACCTCACACTGAAACTTCTTCCAATTTTCTGAATTTCTTTGAGCATCCTGATTGTTATTTATTGTACAAGGTTATTATGCTACCACTGGTCAATGTCTTGCTATCTTTCTCTAAGTTTAACTATAACAGACTACTACTATACTTACGAAATGCATGTGCAAAACTTTTATTGATGAACTTCATTCTGCATTTTAATTGCAGTGCCAATGAAACCGTTGCAGTTGTAGCTTTCCTCCTTTGACAAGGGGGCATCTTTGCGAATGTTCAGTTATCTTCCTCCAAATAATTTTTATTGCATAGATCATTGTAATCACTTTTAAAACATTGTTAGGTGCTTAGTTGTCTCTGCTTTATATGGCATTATTGCCTGGCGACAATGCGTAGCCAGATAACACAATGCCTTAACAGAGACAAAGTTATGTATTTGACAGAATATTGTTTTGAACTGTTTCTTGTGAGGGATATATGAGGAAAAATAGTCTGTCTTTGAAGTATTCTTTGATCATAGCATGAACTTGCTGCATAATAACTCCAGCAGTGAAAGGAAGTGCAAGTAAGTGACCTTACATCTGTGAAACTTCAAAGTTTCATTCCACAACCTTAGGAACAGCATTATTAAACATAAGGTGCTCTAGCCAAAGTGCAGTGTATGCATATAAGTGTGTGTGTGTATACATATGTATGAGTGATGCTTTTGGGTGTGTTCTATACCTTACACACACTAACAAATTAGATAGCTTGTCTAAGAAAAAGAACATTACTTCAGATCACCCTTTCCTCCCCTCCTCCCCTTGCTATTAGGCTACAAAGATATCTTGTGTATGAGTGGCACTGGTGGTACTCTGGTTCACTTTGGACAAAACAGCGTTGCGCAGATGTCCACACAGGATCTTATAGTGTTATCTTCATATAGCTCTGTCTGTCTCTGTATTGTGTCGCCAGGTACATGCTGTGCACTGTTAATGATTAATTTCTAGTGAAGAACAAATAATAAATACATCAATACAATTTAGTCTTTGGAGGAGGGGGGAATACTGAATATACTATTTAATGCGAAGAAGCTTCTGCTCCTTTGTTAGAAGCTGCTTTTGTTAAAGATTTAAACATTCCACACACTTCCAATTGATCATCATGATCAAAAAGTTTTGTTTTGACTCAGAAACCCCAGCTGTACAGCAGGAAAAAATTCTTCCAAATCATTACTGTTTCTCGTTTCATGGGTAGTTCTGAGTTTATGAAACTAATCTGTGTATCATGACTATTGATATAACTTCAAGTTTGCTGTTGTCAGTTTTTTAAAGAAGCCAATAATTTAACCAACATGGACCAAAGAATAGTCCTGATTTTGTGTAATGTAGCTTTCTGTTTTTGAAGTACACTGTTTTTATTGCTCTAAAGGAAATAGTATTCCCTCTTCAACATATTACATGTTGGTAATTATTTTGGTTACAATTTCCATTTGAATTCTGTTGGTGGGGAGACATAATGTCATTTGAGTGGAGGCTGTAATGGAGTCTAAGATCTAATAAGTGTAAGAATTGGTCTAATTGTTATTTTCTGTATTTCATGCACTAAGCATATTCTAATAATGCCTTTCCCACATTAAATCTGAATATTATATCATAAGCATATTAAGCTGCATGGTTTTGTACATAGCCATTCAATATCATAGATGTGTAATTCCCCATCAGCAATTAATTTTCTTCTTCAGACGCAATATTCCTAGGTGCAGCTGACAAAGTGTGGATGAATCAGCACCAAAAAAAAAAGTTACTCTAAGAAGGCTTAGAAAAGCAACTGCGAACATGAGAATTTTTTCAGTTACTCTTCTGTTTCTGGAAATACTCCTATGATGAAAAAGCAGGTTTCAGTTAAGGAAGAAAAAATGCGGACACTGGTTGTTAGGATCACAACTGCAATCAAATTGAGTTCCAAGCAGTTTAAGATAAAATGAAATTCTGAATTTTGTTAATTATAATGGAAGGCTCCATGTATATAAGTGCTAGAACATATCTTTATTTGCGTGCTACCAGAATTTAACATGCAACTGTGTCAACATATTGACAGAATACCTTCTGAATTATTTCCTTTTTTTTAACCTCTAGATAGGGAGCAGCTCAGGGTGAAAAGACTGTTTAAATCTTCAGCTGTTGCTTCAGAAGCAATAAGCGTTCTTTATGTATAAGTCAATTTGACACAGGTGAAAACCCAATAAAGCATTAAAAGTAAATTTTTTGGTCACACCTTGGTGATACCACCACAATCTTTAGATTGGTGGGAAAGTTACTCTGTACTCTGTTACAGCAATGAAATTGTCAGCTGGGCTACACTAGCTTGTGTACTTGACTGCACATCCTTTGATGAAAATGAAGTTGTCATAGAAGGCAGACTTTAACCTGAGTGCATACCATTTGATACCATCTAAGTGAGAAAGATTTTGTCCTGACAGCATGCGGTTTCCCACACTTGTGCCTAGAGTTATGCTTGAAATCAGTTTGTGCATTAAGTTTAAATGTAAGCACAAAGATATCTCAAAGTCCGCAAAGATATGTTACTGCTTAGAGTGTTCTCCCAGTACAGCAGTTATAAAAACAATCATACTCTGAAGTAATGATCTAAAGAAGGACTTTCTTTCAGGAATGCATTTTTTTCCACTTCTAATTGTTCATCTTGAACTTACTGAATGCTTTAAGAAGTTACTGCACAAATACTAGTAAGATTTGTCAGTTGTTAAAGGGAGTGGATAGTATGTCCTTTTGTGCTTCTTTTGTAAATTGAAAAAAAGACAACTATAAGGCAAAGTAAATACTGAAGAGATATTTTCAATAAAATAAATAATAATTAACAGCAGTGGCATTCCTTTTTGATTTGAGATCTAACATTTAACGTTTAATTTGGGTATTTAATATTGCCATTGTAAAATCTGTTTCTGGATTTTACCCATCAATATGAGGTATATTGATGAGGCCCCTGGAGCTAAAAATCTAAAATCTTTTAGAATTACTTGGTGGGAAGTTTACTTGTTTGAAATGTGCTTAACTTTTATACAGATAACGAAGTTTCGAATGTCCTTAATATTTTGGGATTTTAGAGGATAATCAGGTATTTATGTAACTAAACT